GTGTACTCCCAGGAGGGAGGAACAAACAGCTCTGTTTGTTCTAGGCCTGTCAGGTGCAGGGACAACGTGGGAAAGGCAGAGGAGGAAGAGCAGGTGTGGCCTGAGCTGGGCCAGCCTGGACGGGGGGAGGGGCTGTGGGGTCTCCCTGGGAAGCCCTCACCCTCACCTGCAAGCACGGGCCTGACCTGAGGCCTGCTTCTGTGGGTCTTCCATCCCAGCTCTAGGGGAACAGCAAGGGGAGAGAGAGAGAGAGGTGGAGGGAGAAGGGAGGGAGAAGGGAAGGGAAGGAGGAAGGAAGAAGGGGATTCTGTGGAAGCATCCTACAAAAGGTCAGTTGAAAAGGAGAAACAGGACAAGGATTCACCATGAATGTCAGGAGAAAGGGCAGCAAGGGGACCTCCCGGTGTCAACCCCTGATCATTCTGAGATCTAAACCAGGAGTAAACTGTTGGTGCCTCGAGGCTTCCTCCCTCATCTAGAGGAGGAAACTTACTCTCTACTTAAGTGAGATACACAGTGCAAAGCTCAAGTGATAGCATCACCCGTTATTATTATCGTGCTCCTTCTTTCTGCCCAATTCACTTGTATGTTAATGGTTTAGAAAGAAGCATTCCCTTAGTGTGGAGGGACGATTGGGAAGGCGGAGGGAGAGCTGATGGGGGACACTTGGAGAGCTCTTGGACAAGTTTATTTATTCTTTCTAAGTATATATTTTAAAGTGGGTGTGTGGCACATGTCTATAATCCCAACATTCTGGAGGGTGAAGCCGGAAGATTGCAGCAAGATCAAGGCCAGCCTGAGCTACATAGAGGTTTCAAGGCCAACCTGAACTGCACACAGTAGGACCTGTCTCAATAGATAAATAAATAAATCGATAAGAAGAAATAGGAGTTGGAGTCCGGCATGGTGTCACTTGCCTATAATCCCAGCACTCGGGAGGCTGAGGCAAGTGTATTGTTACAAGTTTGAGGCCAGCCTGGACTACATAGTGAGTTCAAGGCTATCTTGAACTACGTATCGAGACCTTGTGCCACCCTCTAGCAAAAAAAAGGGCTGAGGATGTATATTACTCAGTGCAAAGGCCCTGGGTTCAGTCATCAGTAGTACACACATGCACACACATACACATGTATATCACATACAGATAAGTGAATGTGTAATCCTTGGCATTGTGTTGGGCCCTTAGGCTATGGCAGGCAATAAAGGCTCTGTAAATTGTTACAATGTGTTTTGGAAATCAGTGTGGTATAAAATATAAACTTGTAAGTTTCTGTTCATTAATTTTACTTCTGGAATTTCTTATATATAAATAAATGTACTAGTGTGCAACACATTTTATATGTGTATGGGGGTGGTACTGGGATGAACCTAGGACCTTTGCACTGAGCTACATTCTCAGATCTTTTTGGTACCTAGAATCAAACTCAGGACCTCTTGCTTGCCAGGCAGCCACTGTGCTGGTGAGTTACATCCCCAGTCCTTTATTTTCATTTTGAGGCAGAGTCTCACTAAGTCACTGAGTTAATCAGGCTGAGCTTGAATTCACAACCCTGCCTCAGTTTCCCAGGGTGCTGGGATCTCAGGCATGTGTCACCATGCCCAGCTACAATGGATATTTAAAACGGACAAGTCTGTGAGTAGGGGCAGACACTGAAAATAATCAATGCCCTTCAGCAGAAGAAAATTGAATAAATTGTTCTATCATGCTGTGCAAAGCGGTGTAACCACAAAAAACAACAAGTTAGCTCTAAGTTGGTGGCTTAGAGGGCTTTCCACAATTGAGTGAGAAAAAGAAAACTGATTGCTCCAAGGTGAGCACCAAACACTAATTTCATCAGAAAATTCTGGGTTGCTTCTGGGCATTGGGAATCTAGGGAATCCTTGTCTCCAAAGGTGCTACAATGTAAATTCCTATGTGAGAAACTTTAAAAATAAATATTTGAACATTTTAGTAGTTACTGAAAATTCTTTTCTTTTTTTTTTTCCAGTACTGGGGATCAAATTCACAACCTCACACTTGCCAGGAAGGTACTGGTGCTACTGAGCTAAATCCCCAGCCCTGCAAATTATTTTCCACAAAATGAAACACTTATACCCTTAGAAGTATCATATAAGAAAGCCTACTCCCCTACAACTTCATCAACACTGGATATTACCAATCTTTTAAATCTTGGGAATCAATTTTTTATTTTAAAAAATTTTATTAGTATGTTTATAGTACATAATGTTGACATTCTTTGTGTTGAGTTGGCATATGCACAAAACACACCTTTATTCTTTTTTCAGTCCCTTTTTCCTCCTTCTCTGCCCTGTCTCTCCATTTCTTGAAGAAAGAAGCCCATTAATAGAACGAAGAAGCAAGCTACAGAATGGGAATCAGTATTTGAGGCTATATTTCTGCAACAAAGGGCTAATTGAATTAGATATATCTATCTATACCTAATGTACGTATAAGTTAATAAAAAAAATCATGACCTAACACAAAAAGAAGCAAACCACTAACAGGCACTTCAAACAAAAACAGATGTCCAAGTGGCTGCTAAGCACATGAAGAGACCTTACCATAAACAGCCTTCAGGAAAACATAAGCACATTAAAACTAGAAGGGGCTTTGATCCAAGACTGTAGTCAAAAATTCCAGCTCTGTGTACTGCCCCAGGACCCCCATTAGGAACCAGTGAACTTGGACCTGGACTAGCTAGTCTGCCTTCTGTTTGGCCCCAGCAAAGCTCACTTGCCAGGTTACTTGCAGGTCTGCAGAGAAGGCCACAGGGATTTGCTGAAGGGGGAGCCAGGTTCCTCCAGCCTCCAGCTGTGCGGGCAGGAGGATAATGTTTGTGCGCCAAACACGCCACACTGATAGAAAATGACCTGTGGACCTGATTGAGTAGTTCTGGTGTTAGGTGTGAATTTGGGAAGACAATGTGATGGGAGCCCAGAAGCCAGGAATCTCCTGGACCCCACAGTCACAGCCTACTGCTTGTTGAGCACCAGGCCAATTCTAAAAGTGTCGTGTGCATAAATTGGTTTAATCCTCTCTGAAACTCCAAGGTAGTTACTGATACTGTCTTTTTTGACAGGTAGGAAACACAAACTGATGTGGTTCCAGTGGCTCGTGCCTTTAATCCTGGTAATTCTGGGAGACTGAAGCAAGAGATTGCAAGTTTGAGCCTAGCCTGGCAATTTAGCAATTTAGTAAGAACTTGTCTCTAAATTTAAAAAAATGTTTAAAGGCTATGGGTGTAGGTCACCATGAAGGATCTGAGTTCAATTCTAACCACTGGAAAAAAAGAAAAGAAACCATAACCTTTAGCTTGCCCAAGGAAAACTGCTATAAAGTACTGATTATGCATCAGTAGAACTGCTATGCAAAATTGCCACACACCTATATAACCCAGAGTTTTGTAGGCAGTCAGTTTCTACAAAACATTGGCAATGAGTTAGTATTTTTAACCTGGAACCATAATAGTGTCTAAAAACTCTGTATATACACTCTCCTTTCTACCTTTTTGGACATAAAGGAATATTTTTCCAGTGGGGATCTGCATGGTGTGGGTACCAAACATTCCTGGAGCCAGTTGTGGTGGTGCACACCTGTAATCCCAGCACTTGGGAGGCTGAGGCAGGAGGATTGCTTAGTGTCTGAAGCCAGCCTGGGCTACATAGTGAGTTCAAGGCTGGCCTGAACTGTATAGTGAGACCCTATCAAGAGGAAGAAAGAGGAAGAAGAAGGAAGAAGAAGGAAGAAGAAGAAGGAAGAAGAAGAAGAAGAAGAAGAAGAAGAAGAAGAAGAAGAAGAAGAAAGAAAGAAAGAAAGAAAGAAAGAAAGAAAAAAAGAAAGAAAGAAAGTTCCTGAAATGATTAAAAAGAAACGAATAATCACAGCAGTGTATTCAAGTTCTGGGGACAAGATGGAAAATTTAATTTTTTCTCCTTCTCTCTCCAGTCTTCTTCTTCTTCTTCTTCTTCTTCTTCTTCTTCTTCTTCTTCTTCTTCTTCTTCTTCTTCTTCTTCTTCTCCTCCTCCTCCTCCTCCTCCTCCTCCTCCTCCTCCTCCTCCTTTTTCTCCTCCTCCTCCCCCTCCCCCTCCCCCTCCTCCTCCTCTTTGGTGGCACTGGGATCAAACCCAGGAAGGAGAGCTACATCCCCAGCCCTTTTAGTTAGTTTAATTGATTAATTTGTCTATTGAGACAGGGTCTTGCTCTGTGTGGCCTTGAACTCACTAGCTCAGGCTAGCCTCAAACTCATGGTGATCCTTCTGCATTCACCTCCCAAATGCTAGGATTACAGGTGTGCCCCCACTACGTCCAGCCCTTTTGATTTTGAGGCAGGATCTCACTAGGTTGCTCAAACTGGGCTTGAATTTGCTATACTCCTGTGTTGGCCTCTCAAGTCACTGGATTACAGGCATGAAACACCTCGCCCCGCTTATAAATAATTCGCCCTGCTTATAAATAAAGAATTTAAATTTTTAAAAATGCTGGGGCATAGGTGAATCTGGACAGGACTTCTGTTTGCAAGATAGCTCAGATTAATGAAGGGCTGACAGGTGGGCACTGCCCCATTCTCCTCTGAACTGGTTCCACCCTAGTAGGGTTCAGGGGTGAGTGGTGCTCACTGCCCTGCAACGTAGGGGCAAAGACAGTGTAGCCCATAATTCCCAGGAGAAAGAGAGAGAGAGAAGAAAGAAGAGAGAATAGAAAAGAGAGAAGAGGGGGGGGGAGGGGAGGGAAGGGCCTCCCCACCGCTCCAGGATGGGCTTTTCCATCCACAAGGCAGGCGCTTATGCCGCTCAGCTAAATCCCCGGAGGCATTTTTGAAGTCAGGTTCTCATTCTGTAGTTCAGACTGTCCTTCAGCTCCTCAGTGATCTTCCTGCCTCAGCCTCCTGGGTACCGGGATTCCATCCAGCACGCGCCTTTGTGAATGCGTGGCAGAGGCAGGGCACAAACCCTGGCGTGCGCCCCGCCCACCGGCCTCTCCGGGGCGGGGCTGCCGAGGCTGCCCTCGGCGCTGGGTTCCGGAGGCCCCGCCCGCCAGGTTTAAAGCCCGCGGCCACAGGCGGGGCTCTGACCTCGGGGCCCGGGATCGCGAAGTCGCGCTTCCCGCGCAGCGCACACCCACCCAGCTCCCCTCCTGCGCCCGTCCCGCAGGGCCGCGCCATGCCCAGCCCCGGGCCGCGACCCGGCGGGCTGCCCGCATGCCCCGCACTGCCGCGCCACGCGTCCTCCTTCTCTGTGGATGCCATCCTGGCGCGGCCGGGTCCCCGCGCGCCGGCCACCTCCCCGTCGCCCGTCCCCTTCCCCGTCCCCGTCCCCGCAGCCCCGGGGCTCTGGCCCGCTCCCTGGTGGTGCCCCGGCCCCGCCCTGCCCTGGGCGTGCGCGTCCTCCTGGCCGCCCGCCCCCTCGAGCGTGGGCGCCCACGCGTGGCTCCAGCAGCCCGCAGTGCCCCGGCTCCACGCGGCTCCCTCCTGCGGCCTCGCGGGCGTCGGCGTCACAGGTACGGCGGGGACAGGTAGGGCCCGGGTGGGGCCGGGGAGCCGAGCCGAGCCGGTGCTCAGCGTCTGAGAACCACGCGTGGCCTGAGTGGGAAGGGGCCCGACGGCCGCTGACCTGGCAGTGGAAACCGCGCGGACGGGACTGTTGGGGAACCGCCGACCTCGAGCATTCATCTGCGCAAGCTTTTGCCATTTTTGGCTGAGTACTTTGGGGTTGCTTATCATGTTGCCATGCGGAAAAAAGGAGCAAAGTTAGTTCAGACTTTAATTTCCGTATCAAGATAACGTAACAAAGTCAGCCTGGTTCCTATCCAACCCCGCCTCCCCAGTCCAGGCTCCTCCTGCTGCGCCCACCCTCCAAACCGCCTCTCCGAGCTCTTCACACACCTGAAGGCTGGACTGCAGTTTACTCATTTTGGTTGCAGTTGTCTCATTTTCAAGTTGGTTTTTGCAAGAGTTTTACATCCGCACAGTCCGAACTTCAAAATGTCTACTAAGATATGAAAAGTTTCCTCTCCCACTCTCTCCTCTAGTCACTTACAAAGGGAGTTATTTTATGCATATTTAATAATTAAATATGAACCTCCATATGTCTATTTTTCTTCCCTTTCTCTGTTAATACCATATATACTTTATACTGTTCACTTGACCATGTTTTAGAGGTTTTTCCAGTCCATAAAGAATTTTTACAACACAGTGGAGTCCATTGTAAGAAGACAAGATCTTGCTAAGTTTCCCATGCTGGGAAACAGAATTTAAAATCCTCCTGCCTCAACCTCCAGAGTAGCTGGGATTTGAATCTATTAATCTTTTTTATAAATGAGTTGTATATTTTGTATCAAGCTTGGGGAGATCTTTTCCACTCTAAGATCATAAAATAATCCTCTCCTTAAAAAAAAATAATAATCCATTCCTGGCCTCCAGTTGATTTTTTCGAGTATACTCTTTTACATTTAAATACTCCATTTGGAATTTTTGTTTTCTTTCCTTTTAGTTTGCTGTTTTTTGTTTATGGTATTGGGGATTGAACCCAGAGCTTTCACACTGAGCTACTTCTCCAGCTACCCTCAATCCCCTTTATAAGACAAGGTCTCCCTACGTTGCTTGGGTTGGGCTTGAATTTGCAATCCTGCTTCCTCAGCCTACCAGAATGCTAGGATTACAGGTGTATGTCACCATGCCCTACTTGAAACTTTTCTCAGTATAAGGTATGAGGCATGGATCCAGTTTCATTTTTCCCTGATCTGAAATTTATCTGGAAAGAATTTTTCTCTTCCTCCACTGCATTCTCTCTTGGGTTGTTATAGCATATACACATATACATATATAGAATATACATATCTATATAGATATAGATTTTAAAAATAATTTTTAAGGCAGGCATGGTGGCATATGACTATAATCCCAGCATTTGGGAGGCTGAAGCAGGAGGACTGTTGTAAGTTCAAGACCAGCCTGGGCTACAGAGTAATCTCAAGGCCAGCCTGAACTGCATAGTGAGACCCTGTCTCAAAACAACAAAATAATAATAATTTTAAATTTTATTGGTATATGTTAGCAATTCATGCAGTTTACAATCATCTTGGGGAATATATATTCCTCAAGATGATTTGTATAATTTCTATTGACTTTTTCTTTTGAGACAGGCTCTTACTATGTAGTTGAGGCAGGCCTTGAACTCACGGTATTATTCTGCCTCAGCTTCTTTTTTTTTTTTTTTTTTTTTTTTTTTTTTTTTGGTACCAGGGATCAAACTCATGACCTTGCGCTTACCAGGCAGGTGCTTATGCCACTGAGGTAAATCCCCAACCCTGTCTCAGCCTTTTGAGTGGGGGATTTTAAGTGTGTTTGACCATGTTTGACCCTGGCATATTTTTAAGTCCTGGTGACCTCTGGAAGTAGATAATTGGAGGTAATAGTAGTATTATCACTGTGTTGCACATGAGGAAGTTAAGTCTCACAGAGATACACTGAATGACTCCCAGGTCCCACAGGGAACTGATGGCAGAGCTAGGATTCCAAACACCAGCTTTTAAATAACACACGATACAGCTTAATTTCTTCTTCAATGGCTACAACCATGAAACAAGGCAGAAGAGATCAGGCTGCGTGCTTTCTGGGATTTTCCTGACCTTTTGGTCGTACTTCAGGCAGGCACATGGCAAGACTGGTAGGCTCTGCTCCTTTCACTGGGTGGTCAGAATGCCAGCTCTGAGGCCTCCCCGCATGTTAGGGGGCTCAGAGCAGTCTCAGTACTGTACCTAACGTTCTGGTGCATTCTCCTCCCAGATAGACTACTCCCTCGTCCTCTTTATATTCTGACTCAGGCACTGCTCTCTGGCTGATGCATCTGCCCAGGTCCATCGCTTGGTGAACAAAATTGAACTTCTGTGTCTCTTAGAAAAGAGCATCTTTCCCTCCAGGCAGACACAGTACCAAGAACTGGCCTGCAGAAAGTGGACAGAATTTCATACCCTACTCACCTTTCAGCTGTGTATGGAGGACAAACTGTACCTAATGATCCTGTTCAAATATCACCCCAATAAGGTGGCTACCGTGTCTCTAGATGCAAACTGCTCCCCTTCAGTGCAACCACTCTCATCCTGTCTTCTCTTCTCTACTTTTTTCCCTCCTTAGCACTCTCTGGCATATTAAATATTGGCCTATGTTCCTTGTTTCCCTACTTCCGAGATGTAAGCTCCATGAAGACAGGACTTTCTGTTTTGTCCTGAAATCATGTCTGATACATAGCAGACATTCAAAAAGAGGCTGCTGAATGACTGAAGAGAGTGATGATGCCCCCGAGGTTACTAATGAAAGGGATTCTTGTTAGGGGCCAGAAGTCAAGCCACTCAGCTAGAGAGTAATGGAGGCAGAAAACATCTCATAGCATTTCCCCTCCTTTTTCCTTTGTTTTGGGTTATTTCTGTAGCCTTTTCCCCCTGTGCCTTCCTGTTACCTAGTCAGGGGGAAGGTAAAGCAGTGGAGCCATTCTCTCCTCCAAAATGGGCGAACAAGGAGCTGCTGGCTGACCTCCCTCTGCTGGTTGTTCTTTAGGCTGGGAACTGGCTCACTGCTTAGGCCTCTGGGCCCCTCCTGAGGACCTTCAGGACACGGAGAGACACCAAAAGAGAGTTCGAACTATGTTCAACTTGGAGCAGCTGGAAGAGTTGGAGAAAGTGTTTGCAAAACAGCACAATCTGGTGGGAAAGAAGAGAGCCCAGCTGGCAGCCCGGCTGCACCTTACAGAGAACCAGGTGGGAGGGAGGACTCCTGTGGGGCTGGGCTGAGCCTGAGACAGCGCTATGTCCAAGCTGGGAGGGAGACACAGGCCTTCTTCCTGTGTGCCAGCTCTTCAGAAGACAGGCCTTTTTGTTCGCTCCTTAGATAATGAGAAAAATAGTCTATTTGAAATGACATAATGGGAATAACATGCAATATTCACCCAGAACTTTATGATAAACTATTACCATGATAAATAAGGAGTGAAATTAAATAAGTATTCAAGACTTTCAAAAGATTAATAAATATTCCCTTGACACCCCACCACCATCATGAACTCACTATGTAGCCCAGGCTGTTCTCCACCTATGGTGTAGTTTCTGTGCTACAGGTAAACTTCTCAAGAATTCACTACATTCATTCCTTCTGTGTCCTCACCTCCCATTCATTCCTTAACTCATTCCAGTGCACTTTCCCTCCCATTCCATCAAAGCTTCTCAGAAAAATCTCCAGTGACCTCTGTTCTGAGAAGGTAAACAAATGCTTTCCTCAACTGCATGACCCTGCAGCAGTTGTCACTATAACTGATCCCTCCTTCCTTTCCTGAAACGCATACTCTGGGTTTTCCTCCCAGCTTTCTGGACACTTCTGACCCATTTGCAATCTTCTTTCCTTCGGGATTACAAACAATGACTGGTCTCATTTATTTCTGTGGTTTAACATACCACCTCTGAACACATCCTTTTCTGCTGATGTGGACCCAAACCCTTTGCACTGATACACACCACCAACTCTTTTTGAGACATGGTTTGCTAAATTGCCCAAACTGGCTTGAACTTGAAATATTCCTGCGTCAGGTTCCTAGAGTGCTAGGATTATACGAATGTGCCACCACGCCTGGTTTATTTGGCTCATTATTGCCAGTCTCCTTCCCCTTGACTGTGAGCTCCATGAGGGCAGGAACTGTGCCTCTGTTGCTCATCACCAGATCACCATCACCTAGGGTGATGTCCAGCATATCATAGGAGCTTATGAAGTAAACACCGGGATGGATGAATGGTGATGGGACCTTTTAAAGGGGTGTTTCCTGTAACAGGATCAGCAATTTTTGGCCAGACCACTCTGGGCTTGGGGAGTAGTGAGACTGCTGGTCACATTTTGATTTCTGCTCACTATTCCTGATTATAGGTAAGGATCTGGTTCCAAAATCGCAGAGTCAAGTATCAGAAACAACAAAAGCTGAAACCGCCAGCTTTGTCTGCTGTGGCTGCCTCCCCAGATGAGCCCTCCAGCAGCTCCGACAGCAGCATCCAAAGTGAAGATGCTGAGTCAGGAGCAGACAGCTGAGGACAGCGACAGAAGCCCTACTACCTGGGGCACCCACTGGACTTAACTGTCTCACATCCAGCTGAAGAGCCTCCTCAGGGTCAGAGAGCACCAAAGGAATCCAAACTGTCAAGCAGGCCTCCCTTTTCCATATCAGATCCTGGGAGCAGGAGTAACGATTTTTTTGTTTTTGGTTTGGTATCAGGACTAGAACTCAGCACCTCACACTTGCCAGGCATGTGCTGCACCACTGAGCTAAATCCTGGCCCTAAAGAGCAGGAATAATGTAATGACTAGAGGCACAGACTGGCTGTCAGCCTTGTCCTTGACCAAGTTACTGAACTTCTGAACTATTTTCCTTCATTTGTGTAAAGGGTATATTAATAACTTACACTTACGCAGTGGAACATCATGTCTGTAAAGCACCTACAATGTGCTGGGTCCAGTGGTGAATGTGCAGTTACTGTTAAGGCTTTTAGGCTTTCTTACTCGAGGGACTAATACCTACACCAGTCCTGGCTTCCCAAGGATTAATTCATCTTTTTCTCTCCATCTACCTGCCTTTACTTTACTTGAAGTAAGGAATCCAATTTGTCAGCATATTTCTATATTTTCACAAAAGTTAGGCCCTTCCATGCTACCCTCCATCCTCTACAAAATCCTGACTTGTGGCTGCCTTTCCTTCCCAGGAATTCGCTCAGTTTCTCTCGAGGGAGCCTGCTCTGGTGAAGCCAACAATCTTCATTTTCAGAACTAGTATTTACACTGTTTATTCAACAGTAGCTAGGGGTAAGGGGATATAGCTCAGTGGCACAGTGCCTGCCTGGCAATCACAAGGTCATGTTTGATACCCAGTACCACACACACACACACAAAAAAAAAAAAAAAAAAAAGACTGGGGGTGTGGGGTGTATGTGGTGGGGATAGAGTAGAAGGAGGCCTGCCCTGCCTCCTGGTGATGAGAGGGCAGGTCCCTAGCTACTCCCAAGGCTGCTTGCTGAAGGCCAGGGAGGAAAAATCAGGGAGCCAAGGAGGCCCTGGAAAACAACCTGGACCCAAGAGACTGGATTCCTGGATGTCAGGTAGCAGGCTTGAGGGAAGCCAGCGTCCAGCCTTAACATTGCTTCTCTGGCTGTGCTGGTGGTACACACCTAAAATCACAGAGGTTGAGGCAGAAGGACTGCTGCAAATTTGAGGCCAGTCTAGGATACGTAGTTCAAGACCAATCTGAACTACATAGTAAAACCTTGTCTCAAAAAACAAAACAAAACAACAACAACAATATTTCTCTGTCCCTATCTACAGGGAAGCCTTTCCTAAGGCAAAACCCAAAGTCCTATTTGTCAAAGGAATCCAGCTACATCTGCCTGTTTCAGGAAAAACTGGGCCATTTGTATTTTATTTTATTTTTGTGGTACTAAGGATTGAACCCAGAGCCTTTACACTGAACTGTGATCACATGTTCAGCCCTTTTTACTTATTTTATTTTTAAAATTTTGAGGCAGGATCTTGTTATGTTGCCCAATTAGGCTCAAACTCAGGATCCTCCAGCTTCAGGTTTCCGGAGTATTGGGATTTCAGGCATGCCACTACGCCTGTCACTTGTTTTTTGTATCAATAGATAACTGACTCTACCCAATTCCCAGATGTCACCATGGGAGCATAGCAGGTGCACACACACAGGTTCATTTTTAAAGAACACAGTCAAATGAGGAGCAAGGAAATAAACTATGATAGGCCTACTTGTGGGGATAAATACTATAGGTCAGTGGTGCTGAAAAAAGGGACACATGTCTCTCCTGTTCGCAGAATGTGTTCATTCACTTCATCCAGTTTAAGGGGTCCTTAGACCTGACTGAGGTTGAGTCTAGACCTTTCCACCAGCTAGGGTGCCAAAGGTCCGTAAGCCTCTGGAGAATACTGAGGCAGACACCCACCCAGCGTTTAGCGTCCCTTTGATCTTTCCTACGACAGTCTGCCCCACTGCAGGTTTATGGAGAAAGGAAATCTTGCATCAGATTTAGAAGGATGAGTAGGTGGGATGAGTGTGCCCAAGCTATAAGCTATTTCCACCATTTAGTATGAGAGAGAGGACAGAAATAACTAACTGCCTTTTGCTCATTCTATCTCTATGCCAGGTCCATAGAACGTTTTCTAGATTAGCAAACCCCTAGGTGGACAAAGGCACAATAGATACAAAGGTGAAATCAGACTGAAATATGTCAAAACTACACATACATAGACTCCGATATTGGGCTGCGCAGGCAGACAGCCACAAAACTGCAGAGATGTGAGTACAAAGGCAATCTCCGCGACAGCTAGTCAATGAACTAAGGGACTGAAATTCGAACTCTCAGGACTGTGTGTGCAAATTCCGAGCCCCTCCAGAGCACTCAACAAGGGGCGGGGCCTCGGGGGCGGAGCTTCCAGGGGCGGGGTCAAGGGTCAGAAAGCGGAGGCGTGCCCAAGATGGCGGCCTCCATGTGCGAAGTGTTCTCTTTCTGCGTGGGCGTGGCGGGTTCGGCCGGGATTGCAGTGGAAGTCCGATTCGTGAGTAGCGCCAAGGTGAGGTCAGGGCGGACTCCGCCTGGAGCCCAGACTTTGTGAGTCCTTGGAGAGAGCCCCAGGAATCCATGTCTAAAGCTTCTTGTACCGCCTGGCCCAGCCCATGCTCGTGTCCAGGGTTCCCTGTCTTGCCTCCGTGCTCAGGCTACCAGACTGGTCGCGCCGTAGATCCCCGTCTCTAGCGTCTTAGTGCACGCCGGGTTTTAGCGGAATCCGGTCCTAAGGCCCTTAGCCTCCTGTGGCTGCTTTAGGCGGAGCTGGGGCCTCGAGGCCTCCTGGCTCAGGCTGAGGGAATTTGCTGCCGAGATCAGGGAGCGGTTGATGGGGGCGTTCAGCGCAGAGGAACTCAGTTGCAGAAAACCATAGGTTCTCAGGGACACTTTATGTGAGATACGGGTGGTAGAATGCGGAGAGACCAGGATTTTATGGTCTTGAAATGTTAAGGAACTTGGGTGAGAACTCAAATGCCGGGCAAGCATTTGAGAGGTTTTAAGCAGCAATGACATGATTTCATCCTTTTTATTATCATGTTATAGAAGAAGAAAGTATAGGATATATATAGTATATTTTCTTTTCGTAGAAGAAAATATAAAATGTATATAAGGAAACTAAAGATAAAAATCACTCATAATCCTATACTTGTGCAAATGTGTATGTCTATTACATCATGTTTTAGAAAGTACTTTTTGGATGCAAGAGTGAATCTTTCAATATCAATAAATGTATTTCGATATCAATAAGCCTATTAATTTTTTGAAGATAGAACAATTTCATATTAAGATAATAACAATACTGTGTATTGCTATCTTCAAAATAATTAATCAGTAAAAGACAGGATGTGAGCCATGCCTAGTGGTGCGTGCCTGCAGTCCCAGCACTCAGGAGGCTGAGCAGGGGGATCCTTGCAAATTCGAGACCTGCCAGGGCTACACAGTGAGCTCAAGGCCAGCCTGAACTGCCTAGTAACACTCTCTCAAAAAGGCAAAAAAAAAAAAAAAAAAAACTGAGAGCAATCTGACTGCAACATGTGTCATCTCATTAATTCTTGGCTGACCTGGCTGGCTAGGCAGCTGTCCCTTTCTCCCGCTCTGTTCCATGGTGTCTCTCTCTTGAAGCAACACACTTGGGAGAGGAAAACTACCCTGTTTCCTTGATCAGAGGTATACAAGTAGCTGCGTTCCCCTACTGGAACCTCCAAAAAACTCTCAAGAGTAAAAGACATTAAAAAAAAAAAAAAAAAAGTAAAAGACATAAACCAAAAAAGATTCTTACAAAAAAAAAAAAAACAGACAATAACGCTAAACTTTTTTTTAATGAACTAAGATCAATTGGTAGTATAAGTGAAATAAATTAGTGTATAAAAACAGTAGGATTTGTAATTTGGAGTATTTGAACTTCCTACTTGCTATTTGTCTTCTATTTTGTACTGGTGCTGTCTCTATATATGCACACACAACCATCATACAGTTATATATATCATATGTATATGATATATATAACATTTCTTATGTAAGAGAAACCATGTTATATTTGAGCTTCTGTCACTTATTTCATTTAGCATTGTTCTCAAGTTGCATCCATTACCAACCAATGTCTTATCTTATGTCAGTGTAGTATTCCATTGTGTATAAATACCACACTCTTCTTATTCATTTATCAGTTGATGGACATATATGCTGTTTCCAAGAACTATTATAAATTGTGCTGTCATAAATATGGGTATGCATAAATCCCTGTAATAGGATGATTTTCATTCTTTTGAGAAGGTACTTAGAAGGGAGATAATTGGGTCAAATGAAATTTCTATTTTGTTTTTTGAGGAATCTCCACACTGATTTCTCTAGTGGTTGCACTAGTTTACAGTTCCACTAACAATGTACAAGGGTTCCTTTTCCCCACATTCTCGTCAGTATTTGTTATTATTATATTACTTGATGATAGCCATTCTTTCTGGGGTAAGATCGTATCTCAGTGTAGTGTTAATTTGCATTTCTCTGCTGAGCAGTGATGATGAGCAGTTTTTCATTGTTTTATTTTTTTATTGGTCATTTGTACTTCTGAGAAGAGTCATTTTGTTTTGGTTTCCCTTTTTTTTTCTTAATTGGGTCTTTGGGAGATCTAATTTTTTTAACTCTCTATATTCGTTAGTTTTGAGACAGGGTCTTGCTGTGTAATTCAGGCTGGCCTTGAACTAGCCAGGCTGGCCTAGGCTGGTCTTGAATTCATGGCAGTCTTCTTGCCTGAGCCTCTTTTGGGATCATAGGCATGTGTGCTACTACCCCCAGCTGTTTATGGACCATTTATGTTGTGTCTTAGTTTTTGTTCTGAGATAAAGGATGTTGGCATTTAAATCCTATGAAGACACCCTTTGTTCTCACTAGCATTATTTGCTTTCCTGCTTTGTCATTTGATATGTGCAAATGGTATTGCTTTGTTCTCTTGGGTGGGGCAGGTACTAGTGAGGTTCAAGAATTTATAATATATAATGTCTGTGTTTATTCTTAGTCCTTGCACAAGATATTAGCTTTCTAGTCATCCATCTTCTGCTGTCAGCGTCTTTGTATTGATCCAATTTCCCCCTGTAGGCTTCCCTTCTGTTATTTCTGCTCTGGAGGCATCTGAAGTGCTATCCTTCTAGAGGAAATCAGCTGTTCTATATCCTTTTTCACCTTAGCTGCTAACATCTCCATCTCCACCCAGAGCTTCTGGTGCTCCCAGGTGGCTCCCAGTGTGATAGGTTTCCATGCCATCACTCCTACTTTGTGGTAATATTTCATCTTTATCTCTAGCTTCTCTCATCTCTTAGTCACCTTCTTCCTTCACTCTTTCCTTCTAACTTCCATCACTTCAGCCACTCCTCTTGCTCAGTTGTCCTGTCCCAGGCTTTTATCATGACACTAGCAGTGGCACATGCCTGTAACCTTAGCTACTTGGGAGGCTGAGGCAGGAGGATTGCAAGTTTGAGGCCATCCCAGACAACTTAGAGACTTAGTAAGAACCTGTTTCAAAATAAAAAATGAAAGGGGCAGGGGATGTAGTTTAATCATAGAGTACCCCTGGGTTTGATCACCAGTACCACAAAAAACCCAAATAAAAACCATAGCTGGTTGCCCTCTCCATATGTACATCTAATCTGCTGTTGGAGAAAATCGTATACCTATATGAACTGGTAACAAGATGGATTATCTTGGACTTTTGCAACTGTATTCATTGAGTGAGATTGGTCTGTGATTTATTTCTTTGTGTCATCTTCATGTTACTCCATGAAGGTCATGTTTGGTTTAAGGTAAAATGATAATTATTTATTGTTTGAAAGTCTGTGAGAACTATCTTATGAAACCATATGGACAAGTGCATGTAGTTGTTTACAGCATTTTACTATTTCTACAGATGTTGACTGGAATGATTTTCAAATATGTACCAACTGTTTCCTAGGGACAGGACCAGTTGGGTCAGAAACCCAAGTAGATCCTGTGAACTACCTGGAATGCCATTCTGGTATACACTAGCCTGAGCTCAGCCTGTTTTACTAGTATGTTTGGGCTTTCTTCCTTTTGAATTATTTTGGACATTTGTAATTTTCTAGAAAACCGTTTAATCAAGATTTTAGAATGTACTACATGGAAGCCAGGTGTGGTAGCACATGCCTGTAATTCCAGCACTTGGGAAGCTGGGGCAAAAGGATTGACACAAGTTTGAGGCCAACCTGGACTACATAGAACCTGTTTTAAAGTATCATAAATAAATAAATAAATAGACAAATGAACAATCTACATGGAACTGGACATGGTTGAACACCAGTAGTCCCAGCATTCTGGGAGGCTTTAGGTAGGAGGATTTAAGTTCAAGCCTAGCCTAGGCAATTTTTAGCAAGTTAGTGAGACTCTGTGTTGGTTGTTTTTCTCTCTTTGCTGAAATGAAACACTGATACCCAAAATGAAGGAAGGAAAAGTTTATTTAGCTTACAGTTTGTGGAGGTTTCAGTCCATACTCAACTAGCTCCAACACAGGGTGGCGTGGTTGAAGGGCAATCATTCATGGCAGCTGCAAAGATCCTAAAGGCAATGAGTACAAAGGGAAGAGCCCACCTCCTTCCCTCGCTTATATTGTATGCCAGCTCCCTGCCCCTGTGTGGATGTAGCGCTCACACTGCCAGTCCCAGCATTAGGCAGCAAACCAATCACAAATGCAAGTCTCAGCCTCCTTCAAAAGGCCTGCCCCCCATGGCTCTATGAGGCTCCAGAGGCACACCATAACATTCTGCCCATGGCTCCCCAAAGATTCATGTACATCCCTTAATGGAAAAGGCATTTAGTTCATCTGTAAGAGTTGCCAAAGTCCTAACAGTTTCAGCATCACTGAAAAGTCCAAGTCCCAAGTCTCCTCCAAGATTTAAGGCAAACTGTTAGCTGAATCCCCCTGTACAAATGAAAACAAAGTAAACACTTCTAATACTCAGTGGCACAAGATAAACATTTTCATTCCAGAAGTTACAAACAGGAGGATACAAAGGATTGAGACAAAGGCCTGTCCAAAAGCCAGGAAGGCAAACATTAAGTCCTGTAGTTCCACTTCTAGTATCTGAAGCAGTCTGGTTGTGAGCTCTAAAAAGCTTGTGTGACTCCATCCCCTCTACACTTGTGATTGTACTCCCACAGTTTCTCTCTGGCTGGCTTTGTTCCCTTTTTGCAGATTTTTTTAGATGATCCATGCTCCTGGCTTTTCACACTACTTGGGTCTTCACTATACCTTCAGCTTCACACTCATAGCTTCACACATTGCCCTCTTAGAGGCGCACTGCCTGGCCTCCCAGGCCTTCTGAAGTTGGAGTGGAAGCCTTTTTGTCCTCAGAACTCTTACATTCTGTATGCACCTAAAACTAGCACCATGTGGATGATGCTGAGGTCTGCTGCCAGCTGGAGCAGTAGCTAGGCTTTCCTCTCTCTTAGCTGTAGGGATTGAGTACCTGGATTGCTGGGCAGCCTGAATCTAATCCTGAG